TTTGTAAATCCGACTACCACAAGAAATACTTTTCCTATTCCTATGACACCACCTTTAAACCAAAAACTTAAAGCGTTATAAAATGTATATAGATTCGTACTAATAAGTCCTTACTTAATTGTTATACCAGTTAAATGACAGAAGGAAGACTCATAAGAATAAAAAAATAGGGTGCGTGTACTTATGTACGCGCGTAAGAAGTTATACTTCTTTGACATTATTAAAAATAGTTTTTGATTGCATGCAAATAATTAATTACAATTAAATAGTAATTAGAAAAGGAGTCATTATAGTCAATAAAGTTCAGTTTACATTTGAAAAATTACATAAATAAATATCTATTAATATTATATTTATATATTTTCTAATAGTAGTATTGATTTAAATATTCAATTTAAATCACTTCTGATTATAATTCAGACGCACATATAAAATTCGCACTTGTATAAAGAAAACAAAATTAAAACACGCGTTTTAAATGCAGAAACATGCATGTGGATAAATATTATAAATATAAATACACAGTGAACAACATTCTGTTAATTTTCTGTCTCATCAATTTTTCATAACGCGTCTAAAGAAGTATAACTTCAAAAATAGAAAACGCCGCAAAAATATTTCACACTCAATTGTAAAGATATACGAACCGGTCTATGTAAGACACGGTAAAAAAATTCAATATTTTGTATCTACTTGGATAAGAGGATAATCTCTAAAGCAAATTAAGCTTAGATACGTATTAGATGACACATGATGTCTATGTTATTATTTCATGAAAAAATTGAGTAGGTATGTATTATGAAATATACTTCACATTTCTCCGTCTTGTTTACTCTCTCTTTATTGAGAATTATATATATGTAGAATTAGTATTATTATCTAATATATAAATTTCTCGTGTCACGGTGTTTGTGATTAAACTCCTCCGAAATGGCTAACCGATTTTCGTGAATTTTTGTGTGCATATCGGTTAGGTCTGCGAATCGGACAACATAAACTTTTAATATTTATTTTTATTTTTTAGACAAATATACAAAAACACATACAAAACTTTATTTTCACCCTCTATAATCAACCCCTATTTTTATTATAGTAGGTAGTTTTTTTAATGTACTAAAAATTGTTTTCTAGAAATTGACAAGTCGCTTCACATAAATATGCGAGATATTTATATCCTTATATAAAGTTTTTCCTTTTGTATCAATAGGTCAAAATAAGCGTGCAGTACAAAAGGTAACACAACAATCCCTAATTAGGAGGACCACCTACAGACAACAGAAACAATCCTAGCACATCAAATGATGAACAAATGAACTAATAACAAAAAAAATATGTCGTTGTGTTGTCTTATTTTTGTCATACATAATAAGTGATAACATCATAAAATTAGTTGCAAACTACATCAGTAAGTTTAGCAATGCTTTTACCATAACCAAATTATACTGAAGTGAGACGGGAACGTAAATGGATTGCAATAGGTTTAGTTCCGCGCTACAAAACGGGATGCGGGGCGCCACACGCCGCAAACAATCGACAAGGACGCCAGTAAGAACGATTGACGTATTCAATGTTTCTTCACATTACTCAAGGTTTGTCTTCACTCTTCGATCTATTCACAAATAGAAACGTGGTTTATATCATATTCGTAGATTTCGTTAATCTTTGAAAGCAACAATAAGTGAAATTTAGTGACCGAAAATAAGACATGGCTTAAAGGTCTCGTTACCAGGCCATAAAATTATATAAAAAAAGCAACATTTCAATAATACTTAATGGTACTAAAATCTTATTTTACATTTAAATTTTGTACCTATAGAAAAATTACACTATAGTCTGTGCATATTTTAAACACAAATACGATTGGCGTCAAAACAGATTTAAAAAGTCCGTAGTCTCTACCTTTTTATAAATTTTAATTTTATGGGCTGTGTAGTTCCTAAACTAATTGGGTAATAATGTATAATTGATCGCTACTGAATACCGGAATTGAATACTATAATAATAACAATATCAACGAATGGTATAAAATAATCACGATAAAAATGAAAATACTAAATCATTAAGCTGAGGGAGATATAAAATGAAACTTGAGGCGATATATATGTCAGCAATAATAAAAGCTTCATTTTTCTTTACAGTCTTTGTTGTCGGAGCAAGCCAAAGTTATGAGTGGACCTTATTCACGTACAATAAGGACTCTTAGGAAAACTACAAATAAGAAACCTATATACTTATGCCATCAACTTAATGTCATATTCGTAATGTATTAACTATTGAAGTAACTTACGAATTTCGAGCTAATATTAGATTATTAAATCATTTATTTATAAAGTACTACATTTACTATTAAGTTTATTTTATCGCTATACAATATACTCTCCTATTTGTACAAAATGTGTTTTCACTCAATATTAGTATAATAATATTATAAAGACGTAAAGTTTGTGAGGTTTTAGATTTAATCTCTGGATCCGATCTTGAAAATTATTTTACTTTATTTGTGAGTGGTATAGGCTATAATGAGAACTTGGAGAAACCGAACGTGGTTGGTAACACAGAAGGCTGTACACCAACCAGATGGACTGATCAAGTAAAAGACTTATCGGCATAAAAACTGTACAATGTCATAGCTGGACAGAAACCGGTGGAAACAGATAGTCCGCTCCAGATGCTTCCTTGCTGACCACAAAGCTCCAGACATGAGCTGCTAATTTAAGAGAGAGATAGGCTATATATTGTTTAATATATAGCCAAACAACACAAAGCAAGTTGGAGACAAAAACGGTCGGACGAAACCGTTTTTTACGATAACGATTTTTACGCTGCTGTAACGGTAAAGAGATATATGATTGAGTTCTAAGTTCTAACTTGTATAACTTGTCTACAAAAAAAGTCAGCGACATTACATGTCTCAGGCTGCGTCCCCAGTAGGCAAACTGTTAGCCGCCGACTGAGTTAGCGGCGTATCGGTTTAGTACGCCCTTCCATATATTTCAAATGGAGTGTTCACAGTTTGCTAGTTTTGCGCTCACTGTACGCAGTTTGCAGCGTTACGCGCGCCGGCTATCATAGTGAGCGGCCGACTCCCACCAAAACCTGTTCCAGTCGGCGGCGGCGATTGGTTGTTCGCCGGGCGTAGTGACTCAGTTTGCCGCAAACTGATTATTCGGATAGTTGGAAAAAAGCTATCATCGTGTTAGGACGTGTAAGATACCAATTACTTCAAAAATATCCATCGTGACCAACACAACCACTCCCTTCGTACAACAAAAGTAAAGTGATAATTCAGTCGTTCGGCTAAATAAGCGGCTAACTCTTAACAGTTTGCTTGCGACGCACGAAAATTGATTTGAGTCTGCAGCTAACTCAAATTTCAGTTCGCTGCAAATTTGCGGCTCACTCAGTCAGCCTCTAACTGTTTGCCTACTGGGGAAGCAGTCTTACTTTTATCTTCTATTTTCTATATACATAACAATGAATTGCTGTTCGTTTGTCTCGCTAAAACTCGAGAATGAATAGACCGATATGGTTAGTTATGATCTTGAAATATTTGTGAACGTTCAGGGTTCATGGTTTAAACGGTGGAAAACATAATAAGAAGTAAAGAATAATACTAAAATCGAAACTTGAATTTTCCAAGAAAATCTGTTTCTAGCTGGGAAATTGATATCTTTAGTCGTTTTATAAATAAAAAATTGCCAATTGGTTGTCATATATTTATAGCTGCTTTCAGAAATTGGTATTTCATTGATCTCTACTAGTTCGATCACTGGTCTGTTTTAAAAATGTAGTATTGAGTTATGACACAAATATATGTAGGTATTCACCGGGTAGTGTATGTTCGCCATAAACTCAAAAACCTAATTTATTGCGATTGATTCACAAGGAAGGCATATATTTTTACTAGATTTAGTTTAGGTGACCCATCAACCATGCAAAACTAGTTTTAATATACCTACACCAAGTCTCACAAATATTCGATATTGATATTGTAAGAGAGATATCAAATCTAGAACTCACTCATAAAAACAGCATATTTTGTCATAACAGTGAGTATTTGTCAGATATTGACCTCGTTTATTTAACAGCTCATAACCATAAAACACTCGCCAGTAATATGCTCTTCAGAGATTTATCGCGCTTAAAGCTACCGTTTTAGCAGCCTATAAAAGATTCTTTTCATACTTTAGATTGATTAAACGTGTTTTCCCGAAAATATGATAGCTTGACGTTCAGTCTTTTACACTTAAAATACTTTTAGCATTGCAACTTTTATTGTATACTATAACAATTGAAAACTCATAAAAAGTGTCTCGGGCTAAGTTTTATAAGTTGGTAATGACTATTATCGTTTATGGATTTTCTTAGCGATTCTAAGGAAAGGTTTATTTATTACCTATAAGTAGTTTTGAACGAAAAGTTTAAGTGCTTAAAATGACGTGGTTTTTTATAAGGCTATGAGATCGTTATGATCAGATGCTACGTACTATGTAGCGCTACGCCGCGCTGTAGCCACAATTGTATTATATAGGTATATGAACAAGTACTTAAACGTAATACGTTTTCAAACAAATACACCGAATTTATTACTTAATAAATAATAAATACATAAATAGTAAATAAATCGTTTAGGTATTTGCCAAGATAGTGGTACAATTAGATCGATCAACAAGAAAAATCCGCACAATCAGCCATATATAAATAGGCATACAAATGTCATATAAATAACCCTATAATACGAATCATATTTATTTTTGTTATGTTGTAGTTTTACTTTGCTTATCAATACACATTTGTACCTGATTGTCAAACTTACCATATTCAAATTAAAGGCGACTCGGCGAAGTTTACTTCAGTAAAACAATATTTTTATGACCATTTGTATCAATCTGTTGAGATATAGTACAAAAATCATATTAATAGTTTTAACTATGACTTATCCTATACTGCATTATAATACTTATCTTTTAAATTTTTTTACAGATGCAAGCGCACTGAAGATGGGACGGAATTCTGGTGGCATCGAAGCCAACGGCGAGCTGAGAATACTCCTAGTCGTCACCGTTATTGTCGGTTTACTTCTAATGATGTCCCTTATAATGTGCTACGCGTGCGTTCTTAGGAGATTATGTTGCGGGACACCTAGAGAGAGATCGAAAAATATTGCGAACGCAAGGAGAACTGAAAGTTACCCCATGGGAGACGTAACTTTGATATCTCAGCCGACAGAAAGTGAAAGAGTTTAATATACACATTACACATATTACACTGTAATGGGTGAAGATATCTGAGGCACGTAAAAGATAAATATGGATCTTAGGAAGCTGTCAAACTTATAATAACTTTATTTATATAGGTAAACATGAACGTTAACAGAAAATATGTAAAATTGATTCTAAATTTACATTTACTACCAGTTCGCAAGTCAAGGGCGTAGAGCGGGCAAAAAGAACTGGCAAGAAACTCTCCGCCACTCCTTTTAATCGCCAAGTTTTGAGTCATACCAATTGTTTGAAGTGGAGAAAATCAATCCCAACGACAAGGATCATTTAAATATTCGACAAATTTATAAAAAGCTTTATTGATTAATTTAACGAGAGTTTTTAATTTATTCAGTGAAACTTCGCTTGGGAAGTTGTTGTAAAAACGAAAACAATTTCCATATAAGGGAGCGTTCAAGTATTACGTAACGCAATTTTTGGAGATTATTGACCCCCCCATGTAACTCGCCGTAACGTTTTTCAGTACCCAAGTACAGTACTGTACCAAAGTATAGTAAAACGTTTCGTGACCACCTAGTGACTCTTTAGTTACTATTATGTGGTAAGACGAAAAAATATATTAACAATAACACGTAATTTAATCCCCGCCCCGCATCGTAACGTTTCACAAAAGGACCCCCCCCCCCAAATACGTTACGTAATACTTGAACGATCCCTAAGGAGTGGTTTATCTTCTGGAGCCTGTTCGTCGTGCGCTTAGATTTCTCTTTATACTGGTCACCATCTGTTTTAAAATCACTTATATTTTTTGTACATAAAACAGAGCTTCAAGAATATATTGACCAAATAATATCATTATATTTAATTTTTTAAACTTATTCCGTACCCGACCCCTTGGGGAAACTACAAATGTATTTTTACCACTCAGATATAAATAGCGCCAAGCTATCTTTATACAATCAGGAATTGACCGAATCAGTTTACAGTAATTACCAAAATGTCTCAATTGTGTGTAATTTGTTTAAGGATTTATTAAATTAAACTTCAATGTAATGTAAATAGTAGAAATATATTTATCGTGATAAAATATGACATAATCAACATAGGCATTATCCAGCTATCCCTAATTCCAATAATATTATAATTAGTCAACAAATATGATAATCATTATATATTTTTTTCGTTCCAGTACAACAATTTCTAAATAGAATTATATTAAAATTATTATATGTTTCCCTAACGTTGTTTGGAACACTCAACATTTAAAGCAAAACCATTACGGAACAAGCATTCCCAAATCTAAATCGTCAGAAAATGGATGTACTATTAGGTCTTTATTTATATTAGGGATTTATATGGAAATATTTTATTTGCGGTGCAATACAAGTGCTAATTCTAACGTACAAGTTATTTTTTTTTCACGAATTAGTTTTTTTCATTCAACGGACACTTTATGAGTCTTTGATTGCCGGAAATCTTTAAGTTAGCTGTATTAAATATTTTGAAAACCGACAGAATTAGCACTAATATTGTCATAACAATAGGTTCAAAAGTTAGGCGGAATCACTCTAGTGAGCGTTACACTTGAGCATAACAATGTTTTGTATTAGGAATTTAAAATGATCTCATCACTCATTTTGTATTATAGAAAAGTAATGAAGATATAATAACATTTTTATATTTAGTTGTAAAGATGTAAGGTATCTAAACGTCACAGCAATTAAAGGCCACAAATTCATTTATATCCTACCCATTAAACATTAAAAATATATATCTTATTATAAAAAATAAATCATTCAACAATTCAACTAAGATATAATTAAGACATGTGATTTAATATTCAATTTCTTTTGACACATTGTTTTTAATTTAAAACAAAAATTTTTGATACTTCACATTTGATACATAAGTACATAGAAGCATTATTCATATGACAAATCATTGAAATTGAAGACATTGATTGATTATCGCTTGTATCTTAATAAGTTTAAGGCATGAAGATATGTGAAGTGCCATATTGAATAAAAAAATTAACTATTATCAAGGTGTATAACTTTGTTCCCGCAATACGCCGTGAACTAAGGTCCGTAACGATTGTGGCTTACAATATTCCTCTAGCCAGTTGAAGACACCCGCAGAAAATTCACCAAAGTTGTTTGTCGTTACCGACTCAAAGGATTCGAACAATTTATCCATTATACCCTGAAACTACAAAACAAAGATTACATATTTTGGATAATTATAGAATATTTAACAATATTTAATCATGCCTTTTATTTATTCTATTCCTTCATCTATTCCTTCATCTATTCCTTACTGTAATATTATTAGACTCTTATAATTATCAATATGTGGAATTGACCTGACTTTTTGAGCTGTATTTTCGTTTTCATAATCGCCTTCAATCCGTCGTTGTCGAAAATAGTTACAGATCGACGGCGAGGATCGTTCATCTCAAAATTTAAAACAATTGAACCAATAATGGATTGTGTTTATCCAAGCAGTGTTAAGCGCGTAAAAGTCAATAATTATTCTTGTGAAAATTTTACGATTTTTTAGTTAATACATGGCACCAAAAATTACCACAATTTCACAAAATAAGAAGCAAACTAAATACAAAACAAAGAATTTGAAATTAAATTAATACGGCTTTTTGAATAGATAATTGTAAATGACGGTTATGTAATCTCCAATTACTATAGTAAAGACCTATTATAATAAATGTTGCTAAATGTATAGACCACCTATGCCATATGCCAAGGCTCAGCGCTAGCATCTATTTACAGATAAGTTTGCTTGTATGGTATAGGAATATAGATCCTGAACAGGCATACTTCAGCCAAAAACCGAGAAAAATAATGATAACGAAACAGATACAGAAATTTGAAACCATGACCTAGAGGTTGTAGCACCACTGGTTCTTATTTTATTTGTTTAAAGCAATACTCACAACTTGGAACTTTTCCTGATCAGTGAGCCTCTGTTCACTGTGACCTGGAACTGAATGCTGAGCTTTAACAATTTGCTCATAATTGGCCTGCATTATTCTTAGAGCAACAACATCTTTCCTCAATGCATTACGCTCCTCTTCTTGGCGTCTACGTTGTTGTAACAGGTATTGTATGTAATCAATTGATTTTTGAAGAACCTATAAAAGGTATGTTATGAATATAAAAAGTATAATTATAGTCATATTTACAATTAAACTAAACTAATTTTTGAAAAGGATAAATTAAAAAACAAACCAATTATATTAATTACATAAAGTCTGATAAAACATCAATATAAGATGGCTTTCTTAATTATTATAATTCTCTTTTTACTCATTTAATTTTAATATAAACAGTATACAATATACTATTTAACTTACAGTAGCTTTGCTTGGCTTGTATCCTGAAGCATCAGTTTGTTGACAAGTAGGGACAAGTTCTTGTAGGGAATCATAGCCTTTTTTAATGGCATCTCTTCTTTTTTGTTCGGCCTACAAATTAAATTATGTAATTATCAGCTAACAAATTAACATTTTTTATTATACAAATAAGGATTTGAACCTGTGTATGTGCTTCTCGCCTTCTTTCTTTAAAACTCAACGCAGATGCCTTGTTGTCGCCACTATCATCTTCGTCTTCTGGCAATGTGATAATGTCAAGATAAATACAGCGATAGTAATATTTATGATAAAAAACGTCTTCGTTAATACTAACCTGAATTATGATTAGAAGATGATGGAGTTTGATGAATATTTTGAATAGATCCACTACTTCCACATCTAGAATACATATTAAAATTTACTCATTAAACTAAACTAACAAAATCTAATCACAATTATTACAAACTACGAAATACGAATACAATAGCAAAATTAAATAAAACACTGACTATAAATTGAGTTTTGACATATAAGTATGACCTCTGTTAAATGTCAAGTCTCAACTGTGAACTGACAAATTAGTTATTAGTCAGTCAATGTTTTTTTTTTTTTATTAATGGCTCTGGCACGATTTGTGCATTAGCCAGCGTCAAGTATAGATTTTTTTTTTATAATTCGTGCTTCGTCTTTAGAAATTCGACCGTGTCCTCCATGTACGGTTTTAAGCACTCGCCCGGTACCGCACAACCCTCCCAAAGGCCGAGGACAAATTTAAATTAAATTAAAACTTGCCCTCGAACCGGGAATCGAACCCGGTACCCCTCACCTAGCTGCCACTTAATAAGACCGCTAGGCTATGAGGCCCCCCAGTTAATGTTTGATGTACTCAACGAGCCACGATATTTCCGGTAAGAGCGTCGCCGTCATGGATATTAGTATTTCCGGTTAATAAAAATTAACCATTTTAAGGGGAATAATTTGAAGGAATGCAGGCTGCATGTCCAGATACGGGGGCGTTCGTCAACATCCACGACTATTTTAATGTAAAGTGGGAACAAACCGTGACCGTATCAATTTCAGTATCACATTTCAAGGATCGTCACGGTTGCTTAAATGTCATTGCTTGTGGCGGCGTCCATGCGTCCATGCGGCGTCCATGCGACTCTGCCCTGAGAAGCAGTGTTGAACATTCAACGCATACGATAAGCAACATAAAACTTCGGACAGTCCGCGTAAATAATATACATAGGGAGAACAGACAACCCCACATATTGTTCCGCGCCTTGTAAATTGTTTTCCCTTAAATCTCAAAATAACACCGGAATATTGCAAGGGTAATTGCTTGGCTTCATAAATTTAAGATAGATGTAATATTATGTATAAGGTATAAAAACGTTATTTTTGAAGTTATACTTCTTTTGGCGCGTTAGGGAAAAATTATGAGAGTAAATTTTTACGTTTCGCGCGAACACTCACAAAAAACCGACCCTCTGAAGGTAGCTATAATCAACATTTTAGTTTTTTCTACAAACGAAATATTGAGTTAAGGCTAATTGATCAGTTTGATTGTTGCATATAATTGATCCGTTCATAATTTTAAGGGACGATAATAATTATTTATAACTATACTTTCTCGCCATAAATAGGCAGTCCACATTAGCACGAGATATTGAACTACACCACTAACATAACGACAATTCGCGGCATTATACGCACAAATTCGTTTGAAAAAATTTTTTATTGCAAAACAGACACCGTTATTAATTGAAATTATGTAACTGTGAAACGTTGCGACATGCTTTGCTACGCGACTGACGTAGTTCGTAGTCCGTAGCTATGAATTGAAGGGAAACCTGCGCAAAGCCTTTTTGACATTTTATTTTATTTTACATTTTAGGGAAACTTACAGCTAAAAAAGGTTCAATATTATATAATTAATATGATGAAGGCCAATTATCAGTTAAGGTATTATTACATCTTTACATACTAATGCTCAGAAAACTATCAAGGCAGCTATATAAAAATCTAAATCATTCAAAGTATTGAACACAAAGGGCTTTCTTCATTCTAGTAACATTAGTGCAGAATTAATCCAAATCAACCTCCCGACATTAAAAGAATGACATGCTCGCAATAGGTATGAATTTTGTCTGTATATAGTTCCTGCTATAGGGACGTACAATAAATTTGGCCTGCGCAGAAACAATGATGGTGCGTATAGGCCCACCTTAGATACCAGTTCTGGCAACTCAGCTGCACCACTAAATAAAGACATTTATAGAAACGTTATGTCCGATATTTTTCTACGCTCAGCTAAAGGCAAAATATGATATTTTTTGAAGCGTGAATGATAGTCAGGCATAGGTATATGTATATATGTGGGTTAATGTCATTGTTATAGTTTAAGATCCGGCTGCAGGATTAGTGCGTTCATCGGTTATTTGCTAAAACCTAATTTTTATGTATATTTATAATTAGGAGAATATATATATCATCTACTAAGTTGCCTATCAAAATTTGGCCGCTCGTATTTTAATTGATTTTTGGGAAAAAGTTTCTTTCACTTGTTTTTTTAAATAAAATATCCTCTACATCACGGAAATTTACATAAAGAGTTTAAAAAATCACGGTTGCCGTAGAGCGCACCTGGCTATGATTCCGATACATTTATACGTTTGTAACGTACATTTATTAATTATATATAAAATTAAAGCTAATTTTTAATCATATATGGTTGCCTCAAATAAGGGTACTGGCTGTTAAAGATGACAAATATTTAAGGTAAAGTGAGTAAGAGACTTAACACGTAACATCATTTGTCAGACGAGGATAGTGATTGCCGGCTGTGCGACGCTTTTAAGCCATTGCGCATGCGCCGAATGTTATAATGTTGTAGTGTTCTTCGAACTAAATGTTTGTTCGCCTTATTCCATTGAACAACTGGCCCAGATTTATTCCAGTTTTATAATTCGAAAGAATGTCTATTACAAAAAGTAAATTAAATATAAATTTATAAGTAATGCAAAGTATTTTGTTACTTAAACGAGAAAACCAATAAAAATAGACCTCCTATTGAAAAAATTTAATATTACTTTAAAAATACTGTCTTATACATTAAATTTACTATTAATTATTCTTCCAAAGGTAATAATTGTTTCTTTATTACTTTTTGGTGTTATAGTAGGCCTCGATGTATTTACTAACAATTATAGCAGGTCGTTTTTGCCACTGGCTAAGTGTCTGAGCATCAGGTGTAACCTGAAAAAGATATAAATTAATTCAAAATTTTTCAAAACGATAGACTTTTCTACAGGGAACAAAAGAAGCGATTAGTGGGCTTATTTGGAGAAGACCGAAAGAGCTAGCTCTTATGCTATAGTCTTATTATACATATATAATAATACTACAGCATATAGCAGAATAAGACATTCCACCCATATCACCTCTACGTGGAACCTGCTGCCGACCGATATATTTCCGAACAATTTCGACTTCATCAAGTAGAGATTCTTAAAAGGCCGGCAACTTTGCAAGCCCTCTGGCAATGTGTGTGTCTATGGACGCTTTCACTTAAGCTATCACACATAATATACCACTTAGCTTTCTGCCGTTTATCCCCTATTATACTAAAAAAATCAACTAAATAAAACTAAATCGGGGACAACAGTAAAGATCTTAGAACATCTACATTCTCGCATTGTTATACTTTAAACCAAATGCAACAGACATATTCTTCGTCTTTTTTGATGATCCTTTTTAGGGGAATAAAGATATTATACCAACCTGGTCTCCGAGCAAACGATCAAGGAATGTTATGCATAGTTCTGCTGCCCGTAGTCCAGCTTCTTTTGTAATAGCAGCAAAAGCTGTGGCTTCCATTTCAAGATTCTTTACACCCAAGCCTACAAGAGTCTGTAGGAAATCCATTTTATCCGACTCTGTGTAGTCACAGAATGCGCCGTCAGTTCTGCCCTCACCTGATTAATCAATTATACTTTTTTTGACTCACTGATTGTATTAAAATAAAGATTTCAGGTGGCAAAATATAATTAAGACTATATTTAAGCTCGCAACCCAAAATTTCTGTCAAGAATTCTTGTTACGAAAAAAGTCCTTTTGTAAAATGTTACGATGCGGGGCGGGGATTGAATTACGCGTTATTGTTAATATTATTTTCGACTTACACCACATAATAGTAACTAAAGAGACACAAGGTGGTCACGAAACGTTTTACTATACTTGAGTACAGTACTGTACTAGGGTACTGAAAAACGTTACGGCGAGATACATGGGGGGGGGGGGGTGAATAATATCCAAAAATTGCGTTACGTAATACTTGAACGCTCCCTACATTGATTATCAAATATGAGTGAAAACTCGGTAAAATGGAACGACAAAGAGCAATTTATCCGTCCAAAAATGGATTGTCTTCGTAGGGTTTGGTTATTGGGATGCAGATAGGATAGGATCGACTGTCACGGTCTGATCACAGATTGTTTTCAATCTGAGATTGTGGATTGATTATTGGGTTAGAGCGTTAAAGGACACACGCTGCTGTGTTTTTGTTGCTATATTTCCTTTGTCATACGAAAGTATTATTTACACACAGAAAGATACGAATCCATTAGTACAAAGCCTGAGTTCAAACTGCGTTTCTTAACGATTAGACCGATGAAGATGCAATGGAAATAAAGTCTCCACATAATTACCTCTATAAAAGTCGTTTGCAGTCATCGTTCCTCCTACGTACGTGTTATAATCTTCATGACACGCAATAGAATATAGTTCTTGGTTTAACCGCTGATCGAAAATCGCGGGGAATGTTTTGGTCTTCCCCAATATTGGCTATAAAATAATATATTTGACTGTACTTACATAATGTAAGGCCCATATTGAAATTAGCATACATGATAAGATACGTATAAGGTACGATTTTATTTATTTATGCTGTATTCCTACAGCTAACATAAATTATATATAATAACAGACAGTTACACTAAAAATATAGCCAGAGATGGAATACATACCTAATACATTTTACTACAAAAAGGTTCAAAAATTTACAAAATGAAACAAATAAAAAATATTCAATACATTCAACTAAGTAATACCTAATTTGGCTGTGTTGTGTGATGGTGTAAAAGTGAGGGTAAGTACGTGAAGGTGTGTATGTGGGGTGGGGTGTGCTCATGATGCAGGTGATTTTGCGCTATGGATATTCTTAATACTCCTTTTAACCATATTCCGCGATATATTAAACAAGTCAAGGCTTAAATATTGGTCGTTGTATTTCCGGGCTGCGCGATACAAAACTGAGTTTTTTACATAGTTAGTGTTAATGTGAGGAACATGAAACAAAGCACGATTACGAGTCTGGTAGGCAGGAACAAGGGCAATTTTTCTGGAAGGGATTTTTTTAAAAATAAATCTTAGATTTCATATATTAAAGTAAAATTAAACATCACATAATCCTTACCAAGTCATATATCTTCTCCAAGGTCCCATTCATAGCCCATGATGATATAACAACAGACCCTGCTGGAATGCCCATTCCACCACTGGTACCCAATCTGAAGAAAATAGGGTCCTTTGCCTTCGCGTAAAACAGCATTTTCAATACTTCTTCCAACACAACTGTCATTGACGGGATACCGATTCCATGCTGTAAGTTTTCATAGAAAGTTGCATTGACTTTTAGTGTGGTTTTACAGTGACGCTTCTGTCCGCGCGGGTGGTAAGCGCGCGGATGACCCGCTCGAAACTTAAAACTAGTTTTAAAGCTAGTCGCGCGGTTAGCCGCCTCGTACAGTCGTGATCGGTTTGCCGGCTCATCAGTCGTGATGAGACTTCTCGTATTTATTATACTATATTACTTATGGAAAAAAGGCAACGACGACGACGTATACAAGTACATCCTTACAATGCCACTGATTGCTGAGAGGCGGTTCTCTACATCGTTTGCGGATTTAAGAGAACATAGTGACAAGTTCTTTAAACATTTTCGTCTGTCTATAACAACATTTGATGAATTACTCTGCAAGATAGAACATAATTTAAAAAGATCAAGTTTACGTCGAGCACCTATAGAACCAGTTGAAAAGTTGGCGATTACCTTAAGGTAAGTGGCATGAAAAATACTATTTAATTTTTAGTAATTACTTTATTTACAAATTTAAACAATCAAAAAAACAAAACTCGTTGAAATGTAATTAATAGAAATTGTCGTTTTCTGATGCAATATTTGGAAAGTGCTGTATTTCTTCACAGCTTTGCTGAACAGAATTATTGACTGTTGAATGAGGATCATATTGATTTGCTGTTTGATAGCCTTGCTGAGTGGTGGTACTAGACATTGATTCGTTGACTGGTAGCGTTTGGTTTGAAAAATATGATGAATTGGTTGCACACATTACAGAAGAATTAGAATCATTTTCTGGTGACATGACGGTGTAATATTGACTTGCTGATTGATAACCTCGTTGCGTAGTAGTATCATTAGAATGATTGGTTGTTGATGTTGTAGTAGAATTTGAGTTATGTTCTGGTGACAAGATGTTGGACGTCGACGTAGTGCCACTTGAAGTTGGCGCGGAGAGATCCATGGCGATTTGCAATACTTTGGCACGAAATAATAGTTTTTTATAACTGTTAAAAGATTTTAGTATTGGACCTAGAGAATTAAAAATGACAAATCGTCAGAGCTTATGTCTGGCATATTTTTGTCTAACAAATCTACCAACTTTTTCTCAAACGCGGAGTTCTCTTGTACCCGTTCATGTTTCCTCTTCCGAGTCCATGTTGGTTTATCTTGGTCAGCCACCGGAGTAGAACTGTTTTGAGAAGAGCCAGAAATTTCGTCGTTATTTACTACGTGAGCTATTGTTTCAGATGAACTTGATTGTTCATTAATGTTGTACATAGATTCTGAAACTTCGTTTTCAGTGATACGATCAAGAAAGTTTAATTCTTTGAAATAAATGTATTTTGTAACGGTTTTTGCCCCGCTACCAGATGGTGCTTTTTTCATATTAGCTTTGGTTTTGAAATATCCATCTCTTGCAGATTTCCATCTTTGACGTAAAAGCTTATCTGAAACAAAAAAAAATTGGCAAAAATAATATTTTGTGTATCACGCCTTCTCACTTGTACTTTTTTATGAATCCTTTCCTACTTGGAACTTTCTACTAGTTCTAATAATTATATATATTTTTTTCAGATTCTTAGCTACTGGGAACACTTACTCCGATCTACATGTCACATACAGAATGGGCGTTACTACTATAAGCAAAATCGTCAAGGAAGTTTGCTGTGAGATATGGGAAAAACTACGCGAAGAATGCATTCCTCAACCGACAACGCAAATGTGGCAACGTATTAGTGCAGAGTTTGAGATGTATGCAAACTTTCCTAACTGTTGTGGGGCAATAGATGGTAAACATATACGCATAGTTAATCCCGCAGGTGGAGGGTCAATGTTTTACAATTACAAACATTTTTATTCTATTGTCCTTCTGGCAATGTGCGATGCCAACTATTGCTTTACTTATGTCAACATTGGTTCTTGTGGGAAAAACTCTGATTCCACCATATTCCAAAACAGTGTACTATTTCAACAGTTAGAAAGAAATAATTTAAGGTTACCGGCTCCAAAGTACCTGCAAGGATCTAATATTGTGGCACCTCATATAATAATTGGTGATGGTGCATTTGGCATATCGAACTATGTGATGAAACCTTATCTTCGAAATGATATGAGCCACAAACAGAAGATATTCAATTACCGTCTAAGTCGTGCCAGAAGGTACATAGAATGTACATTTGGAATATTATCAAACAAGTTTAGAGTGTTTCACACTCCAATGAACGTGAGCTTCTCCAACGCAAAAACTATAGTTAAAGCTTGTTGCGTATTACACAATTTTATCAGAGTGCGAGACGGCTACAATGGAAATGACTTATTAAGCATTAGTGGTTTGATTGACATGAATCTTCAGCCAGTTTCTAGAACAGGAAACACACTACGCGAAGTGTTTGCCGATTACTTTATATCGCCTGCTGGCAGTGTTTCGTGGCAAGACAGACAAATATTCTAGAGGTACCTACCTAGTACCTATTTGAAAGAACTTATTAGTGGAATTGAATTCATTGTCGTCCTTTCAAGTATAGACTATAGTGATGATTCATAGTCATTTATGACTAATCTAATGTGTTTTTTCTGCAAGTAAACCGTTGAAGAGTGTTCAAATCATCAAAAATCCACAATCTTATTTTTAAATCCATAAAGATAGTGCTCCAACAAGTAAAATTGATCAATTTACCTTATCTTACCCTACATATCGATTGAAATCTTACCCTACATATGTTTAACGACGACTTTTATACCAACATAATATAAATTTTATATTATAAATGTAATTGATAAAAATACAAATTTTATAAACATACCTTTGTCTTTCTTTATGTAATTTTCTCCAAAGATTGCTTCTCCAACTTCTTCCCAAGCCTTATTTTTTGCGTCTTTGTTTTTGTATAATTCGTTCGATGGATCCCACAGCAACGGTCGAAAGCGAACTTCTTCAATCAATCGACCCGTATCGATATAATTCGCATTCATTTTGGCGACGACGGTACGCATGCGCGTCCGACCGGCGAGACTGTGCAACGCACACTGAACACAATGACTCCTCGCCCGCACGCGGTTGAAAAGCGCGGCTGAATTGCCGTCAACGCGGGCCATCCGCGTGACTATGTAATGATCCATGAGACGCAAAGCTCGTGGCCCGCGACGCTTACCAACTGCGCTGGCGAAAGCGTCACTGTAAAACCACACTTAGGCTTTTTAGACATTTTAATGACTTATTTTATAACTTCATTTTCAGCATAACTTCCATCTATATAAATAACTAGCTGTCCCCGCGAACTTTGTTTCTCCTTAATGTGATTTTACTTATCCTACCTTTTTAGTACATACCAACATGGAAAATTTTGCTATACTACAGAGATTGTTGAATACAGTTAGTTTTCTGGAATGAAAACTTTTTAGGTTTTTTTGTGATTTTTTCTCTATATAATAAACCTCAGTTCTAGTCATAAGATTTGAATGAAAAAATAAAAAATAGGGGTTGATCGTAGAGGGGTGAAAATTTGGGAGTTGTATCTATTTTTGTATGCTGTATCATAAAAAAATTGAAAAAAAAACAATTTAAAGAATAAAAAATATTTTGGGGTGGACACCCCTTATCACTAAGGGGGTTGAAAGATAGATAGTAGCCGATTCTCAGACCTACTGAATATGCATATAAAATTTGATAAAAATCGTTCAAGCCGTTTCGGAGGAGTATGGTAACTAACATTGTGACACGAGAATTTTATATATATAAGTTGAGTAAAACAATATAACTCTGATGAAGGCTTTTATGGAGAGAAAAATTTAAGAAAAAAAAAATGTATTTGGTACTTTAGTTTTATTCCGGAAAAGCGAACAGTCTATATGGAGTAGCATATCAATATATGTTGGTACGTAGCTACTAAAAGATAGGCTAAGTAAAAAACGTAGTAATATATTTAAAATAATAATCAGTAGATATCTTTATATAGATATTCTCCTTCGTAAAATTGTTTCCATGTCTTCTTCCCCTTCATATTGATTCAGTAGTTTAAACAAGCTCTGTTCAGCTGATTGGCAACCATTGGTACTACTTATGGGTCACTGTGTCCGATAAATAGTATCAGATAGTGATGACTCCAAGGCCAAGCGTCAAGCACAATGGGTTCTATAATCAAACTTTATGTACTAAACTATCCTCTTAAAAAGAAAAATACTTACATTAACGCACAGAACTGGCCCAACTTTATACATAACGTATCTTTTCGCTTGTTTGACCATGTTGTTGAAGTCACATGGAATATTCAATAGCTGACTTATGTGTGCTGCTACGTCCTTCATTCTGTATTTAGTTCCACCCATACATACAAACTAGAATTGTTTGTTATTATTCATATTAGATTATGAAGTTGCAATCTCTCCTAGATATTGGCTTCAATGACCAATTATAAAAGATAACAAATAGTTAAAGTAATAGGATAGTATGGACTAAGGTAGGGAAAGGTTAAAAAGCTCTCTATTAGTATTTGGAACTGAAGCACGAACATCTTTTGATTTGTATTTGTGTAATCAACTTTAAAATATAAATTGATGCGATAGCGTCGAACGGCTGACATTATCGTATTTAACGTATACAAATACTAAACTGTAGTAAAGTTCGTGCTAAGCACTCAAGTATTAAAATTCATTGAGCAAAACATAATAAACCATTCTTCTTTTAGTGCCTCTCCATTACTGGATGTTGGCCGTCAGTTTCTCGAAGCGTTTCTTTGAAGAATGATTCGAAGACATGATTTCATCCTTCAACTAACACGCCGTTTGCGGTGGATTTTACCCATTATAATTATTTGAAGGAGGTGGTAGTGGTCGTGGCGCAACACGTGGCCCAGGTACGCAACCTTCCGATGTTTAATGTTCTGCATAAGTTGATAAATAATAAACCACAAATTTTTAAATTTGTAATTAAATGTATAACTTAAAAACTTGAAAAGAATCACTTTTATGGCTTAAATCAATTACCAGTTAAACAATAATCAATCACTAGTAACTCTCTCTCTAATAGTCACTTAGGTTTTAGAAGTTCTCATGCACATAACTTAGACAGGAAAGAATATTATTTAAACAAGTTTGAAACAATTCGAGATGCACGAAAATTACTTCAAAATTATACCTTTATGTCACCAAACATTGCTGGTAGATCATGTTTCACCGTATCAAATCCGAGATGGTATAAGATGTCACAGTCAAGCTTAGATAAGTGCTTATTTGGTAGTTGCATCGACCCATCCTTATTTCTGAAATAATTGAATAGACAATTACGTTTTAATTTTAAAAACTTCACAATGATTGCTGGCAATTTGAAGAAGAGACTACAATAAATATTACCTATAATATGTCCATCTAACATCACACCAATCTTCCAATCACTAAAAGGATTTATTCTTTAACAATTCCTATAATGCATTGTACAAACAACTCTATAATAATTCTTGTTTGTATTACAGGCAATATTAATGTTTCAAATTTGAATTAACTAAAAGAGTTCTAGTTGTTATTCCCAATGTATTAGTAATTGCGACCTCCCCAATGATTGACCAAGGCTGAGACAAATACTTTATAGAAACTACTGTAAATTACATTATTGATCTAATTAAAACCTATACCATAACATAATGTATGGTTGTACATTATGATTTTAATTCTCATTTTACCACATCACAGATATTTAAGATTAAGTTTTGGGAAATTTTAAAAAATGCATGCACAATCTTTGATGATTTAGTTCTTTGGGTAATTTTAATGATAATATATTTAAATCTCTTTACATAGTACTTACTTAGGATATTCATATTTATCATGTTTCCAAAGCGTTTTACAGTTGTCATAATGCTTATTCCAACCATTTTGCGTAGGCAATATAAAGTCACATGTACAATTCATCGTTTACAAAAAACTACTAATATAAAATATTGTATTCGTATTTCGTAACTTAGTTACTTAGTAATACTACTTATAGACTCTTCTGTCTTCATGACCATCTCTCACAGGGAATAATAAGATATCATTTGAAATACTGGAAATGTATCTTTAATCTTTATTACTTACTGAAGTAAATAACATAATATATTGCAAAAGAATAAATAAATAAAAGCAATGTTCATGTTTTGTTTTTTTTTTGGGAGTTTATGGCCTGGTATCTAGACCTTTAGGCCAATTTTATTATTTTAAGCCTATTGCGGTATTGCCTGGTAACGAGACCTATTCAAGTTTTGAAACAACATTACTGTTACTGTTATCGTTTAAATGTCATTGTTACAATAATGAATGATGCCAAATATGGTTTTGTACTAAAAAACAGACAAAATTTATTCAAAGTGCGTTTGTTTTAATTCATTTCAAAATTTAGTTTCAAGTTTTAGGGTAAGATTTTGTGGATTTCAATAGTTAAATCATATTACTCATCACAACATACAAAGGTAATGCTGTTCATTCTCATTATCACATGAGTCTTTTGTTTGTATACGTGTTTACAGGCGTATTACGTCATAGTGACTAGTGCGACGCCTATCCTATCTTGCCTATAGAAGTGTTTTGAAGGGTTCTTTACTTTATGAATGTTTAATTTGTATTTTTAAAGCCACTAAAAGCTAAAAATAAAAATCTATAAAGGTTACAAATTACAATAGTCACTAATTAATAATCTGCAATGGTTTTAATATCTTGCCCAAAAGGCCATACAATTTACAAAAGTTTATTTGCAAAGCCCAGTATATATTTTCTCACTACTGTATATTTCTATATGCAATGCTAGGAAATTCTTTAAACAATTGAATCAATATGAAAGTAATTGATTAACGAATACAAACGACTACTTTCATATTATTGAATGTGTCAATTACCTCTATAATTCATTTGGTATTCTCTGTGTCGTAAACAAAATACATCACGAAACTTCTTGGTACCAACTACCAAGTACCAACATTGTAACAGCAGTCAATTCAACAATGTAAACTACCAACACTGACAATCATTTTCGTGTAAATTGAAAGCAAGCATAGCGCGATTTTATGATATTGCGTATTAATTTGGCAAATTTTTATATTGCAAATTCTGAATTATATTACTTAAAATCATGTGCATGAACTCTTGAGTGAGTGTCGTATTTCAATAAACATTCATTTTAATTAATTTTAATCTTTTACTTATGTTCATTTGAGGCTTGACTCGCAAGTGATGAAGTGACCTAGCCAACGATGGCCACCATTTTAGATAAAAAATTTCGTTTGTTGGATAAATTATTGGACACTACGATATAATGTTAATGTTTTAAAGTAAAAAAAAGTAAAAGAGAAACTATTAATTTAGTTAATGTGTACGTTGTTCATTTAATTGTCCAATTTATATGAAACAATATGGTGTTGCTGCAACGTATAATTTTTTAGTATGAAGTTTATAGGAGAAAGTTTTTTCAGAAGTAGTTAATAGAACAATTGGGCAAGATGGTGTCGACGAGACAAATGAGTAGTATAGGAGGAGGTGGGAATGGAAGTAGTGATGGTGCCGGTCCATCTCATGCGGAACCTGTCACCGTGGCGCGCGTGACCCGTCATTCGAGTGCTCAACTTCCAGGGGGTTCGTCTCCTCATGGAAGTTCAAAAAACTCGGTAATACCTACACCCAAGACCTTCAATACAAACCTTATGGATCTACCAATTGAAGTGATGGAAAAGATTTTTCGTTATGTGGGATTCAAAAATGTATCGCATCTCAGACTGGTAAATAAAAAGTGGCATTCTATTCTTATCTTCTTAATTGCTGTACAGTTATATTTAATAAAAACAATTTTATAAATGTTTTTAAATTGAGGTTATCATTTCTATTTATGCTTTATAATTTTAGGTCAACAGGCAGTTTAACAATATGTGCAGTAGCATTTTGAATTCCACTTTTCAAAGATTACAAAACCAAATGCTCCATCGTTTTCAAGCAATCAAGGCAAAGATGCCCCGTCGAGAGTCCGCCAGGAGGAGTCATCCTCTTGCCTGTGAATCTGATATTATTGAAACATTACATATGAGACTTAGTTTATTGCAAATGACCTTAGGAAAGCACATTGAGAGGAAACATTGCTGTTTCTTTCCCGGAGAGGTAATTATTACATAATGAATAGCTGTTAATTGGAACACTAATAATAATAGTAATGCACATAACACATAGGAAGTTGAAGAAACTTTACTGAGATTAATTCAATTGTATAATAAAATGAGTTTTCAAATTTATGACTTAAACTTATTCTCTTTTAGATATTAGATGAAGTGTATAGTATTTTATCATATTTAAAAACAACAACAAAGTTAGCAAGACCATACAAAGTAACAGATGAGTTGTTTGACCTGACTACAATGGCCATGGAATATTTCAAAGAGCATATTGAACCCAATTTGCCAGAAATTACATACTTTGGCACAGATTTCTTTGATATCACAACTGCCTTCTCGCGTAAGTATTTCAATATGAAGCATTGTGTATATGTTTGTGTAGTTGGTTTGTTGCTACGATTTTGGGTTTAAAGTGTGCAAGGGAGATAAAACTGTGTTTATTCCAATAATCTAGCTTGAATGTGTATAATGCATGGTTCATTGGAGCTTTGTTTAAACTGAAAAGTTGCTATATTGGGTTAATGATAACGTTTTGTTTTTGTGATTTAGGATTGTATGAATATACAGCTAATTTGTTTCCTGTTTAACTTTGTTAAATGATTTCTAAATACAGACATTTTAATTAAAATATTATTGGTGTTTTTTGCTTAAGAGATTTTTTTTTCTAAAACAATTCTTGTATAATCAAGTCTAAGTATTATTGTATAATTGATAGTTGAGATTCAGTACTATTGAGTACTGAGTTAAGACTCCCATATGTTAAAAATGATGTAGGCGAGTCTCAATGCTACATCTCAACTATGAATAGTAAATACCCTTCATACAGTTAAGGAAGGTAAAGGAACTTATACCTACTAATTAATTGCATAGATCTTATGAGAACAGACATTGGTATGAATCACGTTTTGTAAAAGGTATGTTTACATAATGTAGTTAATAGAAAACATTCTTATCAAGTTGCATGTTTTATAATTGGGTGATTTCTGCATAAATCAACCTTAGATAGAAAATCAAGTTGATCAATGGATAAAAAATTATGCCTGAGATATTGGTAAAGAACTTCTTAGATAAGTTGCATACTACAAGCTATGATGCTTAATATATTCCAATAATCAAATTTATACTACTCTTGTTGATTGAATTACACCCGCTTACGGGTGGGTATGGGGCGGATTTGTGTTTTATTTACGTTACTTTTAAGGCCTTCAGTGACTAGTAACCTCTAAGAATTATTGCTTTCCGGCGGATTTTGTGGAGTGTGCGATGAGCCACGCAGGCAGTGGTATTTCTAGTAGGTAAACAATCACACCTAGTGGATTTCTGATGTTCATAAGTTTAATAAAAATAAGTATTTTATTGGTCTTAATATATATGAACATTTGTTGCATTTTAGAATTATGTCATAAATATAAATCAAACTTGATAGTCAATTCTTTAATATCATGCCCTATGGTAGAAATCTACTGGCTGTCAGTAATAAAGGCTTAATAATAATATTGGTAGAAATCTATGTTAATGAACCTACTGTAGGCAGGATGTAATTTTTTTGTAGCATTCTGTTATGTCATGCTTTGGAATAAGTTAGTCTTTTTGTAATATTTGTCAGGAATGATAAAATAGAATGAAGTTGCTTTTAATTTTAATTTAAGTGTTTAATAATTATATATTTAATTATTTAAGAGAATACAGGGTTAATATTACGTAATAAGTACCTAGAGTTCTGCTTCAACTCAAAAACTTAACCTCAAAAATTATAAAATATATTAGGTATCAACTTATTGTAACTTGTTACTTTCCTTAAATAATGTTATTACCATGGAAAGCCTAGTGAGTTCCAAGTACATTGTAGTTTTACTCAATATTTAATATCAAGGTTTGTTACGTGAGTTATATATTCAATCTTATTGATAAGAAAAATTGTTGTAGAACCGTTTTTTACCCTATGTTTTTTGCTCTAGAAGAAACACAAAACATTGCAAATGGCGATAACGTGAACGAACGAATAAAAAAACTTGTAGAGTCACGCTAAGGACGCCGTAACAAAGCGTAATCTGAATTTCTTTGTTAGTACTTTTGTTCCTAAAGATCAAAATTACACTTATATTTTTGATAATTTTAATAGTTTCAATACTATTAATGTCACAAAATTTTACCCAATATTTGTGGAAAGTAACCCAGTTTTCTAGAGGTTGAAAAAAACTAATTACTATAAATAAAATTATGATTTGAAGGTGAAGTGCATGAATGAGGATTGCGAAACGCCGCAAAACAAGAAACTTATTGTTATCTAAAACATTCGCGGTAGTCTTTCCGTTATATTTTAGGGCAATCTCCCTAAAATATATCGGCTTTATTAAAACAAGAGAAGTAATCAAATCAAAATTCATTTATGTGTTGTGATTACACAACCATTGAAGATATTGCAATCTATAGTCTAGTTCTGTAGAACATTCCTCATATTTCAGCGGGTGAGAGCAGTAAATCGTACCTATGTCTCGATTCTCCACCAGCGAGTGGGTTCGAGTCTTCCTCGCAACAGGCAGGCGGGAATTCTTCGGGCGATCGCCGCGTGTCCTCTCTAAATCTCTACATGGAGGAAAGCCTGCCTCCATCTCCTCCACCACCACAGAGCAACATGGTGCTAAGGAAACGGATACATCGCATCAAGCAGGGAATGAAAAAGTGAGATACATGTACTTTTGTATATTTAACAAGCTGTGCTTTCGTGTTTCTACGCGATAAGGTTGAAGCATAATATGGCCTTCCTCGATAAATTGTACAAAAAATATTTTAGCTGAACTATGAGTTCATGAGAATAGTGTGTTTAACTATTATGTACTATTACTATAGATTAGATAAGAGACTTAAAAACCACACTATACTTCTGTTGGGTTGTTCATTACACTTTTGAAGTAGTTATTCTATGACAATATATAGCATAGCACCATATGATAAATGTTTGACAATAATGAAGAAAAAATATATTTTGGAGTGCCAATATGGTACTACTGCAAATATACTTTGAAGTTTAGGGTATTGAATACTGCACTTGTGCTTAGATTCTAATTGGAATATGGCTTTATAGTTGACACAATACATATTTTTGGTCATATTTTCCTTGTAAGACTGATTGAGAAGTAGTTATTTTTAGTCAAAGGATGAGTAAGGCTGGTACTTATGAAACAGAAGTTATTAAAATCCATTGTGAATTTCTTCTTTATAGTTGCAACAATCTGCAATATATTAAATCTAAGTATAGGCTGGTTTTTGAGCCTTTTTGATTTATACATGCATAAAATAATCAAACACAAAGTAGAATTTAGAGAAACAAAATAAAAAATGATTTTATCAATAATAAGCTGGCAACCTGAATTAGAAAAATATACCAAAATTAAAGAAATGTTCATAAAGTGCCAATAATTATGTGCCCAAACAACAACAGCTTAACAAAACTAATAATAAAAATTCCTAATAAAATTCTTGCCATGGAAAACTTTTATATCCAAAACATGGCATTATGGCATTGTGTTCACAGATTTTTATAAAAAATAACGATTAAAATAGAATATTTATTTGATTGTTTTATATAAATAAAACTATGGCAAATACAAATAGTGTTTTGGAGAAAGTGTCCAATTCAGGTTCGCGAACTACTGCTGTTACTAAAAGGATTAGATTCATAGTCGTGGCTTCGCTAAATAGGGCTTTCATATGAAAAAAACGTATTGACTTTGCACCATACTAATAAAAAAGTTTTCATCAATTTGTGTATAATTTCAGATACAATGATCAGTTGTCAGCCTTGCGCAGTGATTTACGTAGTTGTAAGCGGAAAACTGCGTTACAACAGAAGCAAATCGCCGAACAACAGAAGCAGATAGCGGAACAGCAGAAACAGACTCTGGAATATGCTAACCGGTTGGACGATTATGACAAGAAGAACGAGGAAACCAGCCGCAAATTTCAGACTCTATTGCAGGTTTGTATTTGACCACAAGTGTCATAAAATACTGCTATAGCTGATACTGTATCTTGTATATGGAGAATTAATTTCGACAAAAAAAATCTATCATATTTGGCTAATTGATCTGAAATCAATAGCTAGACAAAACGTAATATTTAGGTTGTATTTCAAAACATATCTCAAGTCAGAATCATCAGTAAAAAGTTGGAGTCGGTAGAGAATTATCACTAAATAAATTCAAAACCCTCGTTAAACGAAAATAAATAAAGCTTTTTATAAATTTGAGGAATACTTAAATGATCCTAATCCTTGGGATTGATTTGCTCCAGTTCAAACAATTTGTATGGCAATACTTGGTACAATACTTAGACAATACTTAATATATACAATAATTAAAAAGAGTGGTGGAAAGTTTCTTGCCAGTTCTTCTTACCCGCTCTACGCCCTTGACTTGCGAACTGGTAGTAAATGTAAATTTACAATTAATTTAACTTCTTCCTGACAATTCATAAGTTTACTTGTTTACCTACATGAATAAAAATATTTTGAGTTTGAGTCAAAAATTTCAAATGACATAGAAAAAACTTTGACAGATCTAAAGGTTTAAGTATCATAAATGTTTTTAATTATGTTCGCTATCTGTCAGTTTAACAAAACATCGGTTAAATAATTATAAAGACTAAATGAATTTTAAAAACTCATATTTATCTCCTAGATTTCAACAGCATTCACACAAATGAATATGGAATAGAGAACAAGTATTATAGTAAATTATTTAATGGTTTATTCGTGAATTTAGGATACAAGTTATAATAAATTTAACAGAACCTTTTTTTATACATATGTAGTTATATTATCTTTATCTTAACAATGTATTGGATGCCATTTCATCAAAGTAAAACTTTATAATCATGTGTCTGTTAAGCTCAAGGGCGTTAAGGGCCTGAGGACACTAGACTCTGATCTCACTGTATCATGTAAATTTTTGTTGATATTTTTTAACGCTATTGTGAGTGGATATTTACAGATTCTGTATAAAGACGTTCCAAATCTGTTAAGTTACAGTATAAACACACAAAATTATGTAGGTATTATTGAAAATTGTAGTTTAACTGCATAACTCTCATGCGAATAATTATAAATCCGTCTTTGGTAATATTGTGTGGACTAACTGATATTTGTGTTTCCAGGAGCTGAATAAGTGCAAGACAGAATTACAGTACTGGCGTTCCCGTTCTCCGGCCGTTCCGCCTCTTTGTGCTGAGTGCGGTGCATCACTACGACTGTCGCCTGTTGCGGCGCTTGCGCAGGTAATACATTTTTTTTACATTTATAAAAACCGCTTATTTATTTCATTACTCTGTATTTTAATTCCTATTTCAAACGTCCGAATAGGTAAATAAGACAGGAATAGGCTGCAACCCTGACCCTAGATTTATTAATTTTCTGAATTCTATATTCAAAATCAGTAAAAATATTTTTGTGAACTTTTTCTCGTATTTTTAGTAACAGAGAGCCAAATGGTTTTTTTATAAAAATAAAATGAATTCAATATCTTTATTTCATGTGACCTCAGTAACAGTTTTAATGTAAACTAAAATGCAATGACATAAATATTGCAAACCTCGATTATCTTAATAGTTAGTCATTGTAATGACGATTTACGGTAATAGTTCTTATTGAATTTATTATGCGTCTATTAGGGTCGGTTACATTAAGTTAACGATTATAGGAATTGCATGTATTACGACAATAGAAATGTATACAAAGTTTATGTATTTGATATTTGCATTTTGAACATTGTCATTTTTCTAACACAGATTTTTATTCAAACTCTTTCCTTGGTTCATTCAATTTGGCCTGAAATTACATTCTTTTTGATCCAAAAGTAGAACCATGAATTTAATTATTTTCAGGATAACTGTCAAAATGCATACGAGAAAATATTAACTGATGTGTGTGACACAAGATGTACATATATGCATGAATAATAATGAAAAATAATAGAACAATAATTATGAATAATAATGTTTGATGAATGATCAACTTTTCATTTGTAAAAATATCTGTAAATGAAATCTTTTACATATTTTCTAATTATTATATGTATATAGAACTAGCTGTTCCCTGCCACGCAGTTGTTTTTGAGTTTTTGAAGCGTACACCAACATAACATTTATATACATATATATATATATATTGTTTTTTTTAATTCCAGTGGCCATCGGGCTCTAGCTCTGAAGCCAGTGTGGAAGCGAGTGGCAGTAAGGAGCCTGTCACTAGCGTCATCGAAACTCCCACAGAAATTCCCCTAAAAACTGAACAGAAGTCGGAGGCGAGTAGTGGCGAAGAAACGGCCGCTAGCACACCGCCGACTCGTCGCAGGGCGTCAGCCGATGCCGCATCTGCAACACCGGACCGTAAGAAGCGTCGCCTTACTCGCCCAAGGAAACTCTGAAACGGCAAGGTCTATTTCACGCGTTCGATATTTGAATCTTTGAAAAAGCAATTCCATGTTTGAGCCTTTGAATCGAGGGTATGGATTGTTTCACGCGGTTTTAGATTCTCTATACGCGTTCTATTATTGAACTAAAAGCATGTTCCATTGAGAACTCAAATCTCTCACGCGTTCTAAATTTGAAATATTAAAATTAAATAAACAACTCCGTGTATAAACTCTTGAATAGAGTTATGGTATTTTACATGGGTTGTTTGATGCGCGTTTTGGAACTGAATGTATCACTTGTTCTATATTTGAAGCTTTATTCTAGGTTTGAACCTTTAAATTTAAAAAAAGGTCATCAAAGATCGTAACTTTATGAACATATAATATTTTACTCCTTTAAGACTGTTTAAATTTGAATTTGGAACAAGGTCCTTATTGGAAACGCAACTTTTTATTCTTGAATTTAAAAAATTTGAACTTTTTTCTTAAAAATTCTAAACAGTTTTAATTACATTTGGCTTGGATTTTAAATGCATTCATCTGTTACTCAGTACCAGATGTGTGTATTATAAATACCATATTTTTTATACAAATTAAATCATCCTAATTACACTTTTTTGAACTTAATTGTTCTAATTCACTCTAGTTATGTTTACTCTATGAGGGAAAGAGACAGCATTGTTTTAGTTATACCGTAATTAGGTTCATTCAGCTTCTATAAGGAGATAATCTGTATAAACATAAAATGAAGGCGATAAAATAGTTCGTCTATAAAATACCAGATATTTAACCATTAATACATTTAAGTTCTATACAAAAAATACTTTTTGTAAAAAATCCAGTTATTTTTAACATAAGTAATATTCGGGCAAATGCACTTAGGAACTTACTTTAATGATTTACGGTTGAAATTTGAGTTGTGTTGTGACCAATTTCATTGCTTACTAGTGTTTTCAATTTCTCAACTTTTTTTAATTTTTTCTTTGTCAAATTGACAAATAATGCTTCATAATTTGTTAACGAAAAAAAAAATTGCTAGAATTATCGTTTATGGTACAAATGCATGTTGTTGTATACTCTACACCATAGATTATTAAATAGCTATTGAATGCCCTTAACGCTCGTGTGACTCGGCAAATGAGTCGATTTTTTTACAGATTGAGATTTTACCCAACACATGGCTTTTGGGGCGTTAATAAAAACTATTGCTTCTCTAATAAAATAATTTTAACAATTTACAAGTTATCTCGTACGGTTTTAGTTATATTAGTTAATATAATAATTCTTTAACTAATATACACAAGTAGAGTGCATTTATTATATGACATCGAAATTGCTTAGGGTTAATGTTGGAAATATAAGAATTATATAAAGACCTAAACATTCAAACTAACAAAAAACATTTTATGAATTCGACTTAATTTTAGAAATGCAGGAAATAACTCTCGTGTATAATTAATGTATTAGCGTTGGATATACTCGAGTCATATTTATGTCTCGACTCGAGATACGAGAGTAGATTCTATGAAGCGTAATCCATGTCGTGTTATCGGAAATCTATTTGGAAATGCTTAAGTGAAGGCGAAATAAAAATGCTTTAGACAAATGTACTTGGCAAACGTGAGCCGCATGGTCACGTGACCATGCGACAATTAATTTTTTTTAACAAGATATGGATTCACACGCAAACTATTGTACTATGGCGTGTTTAATATATACATAACATTTTCACTAAATCTTTTTAAAATCGGACATAAGGAAAAATGTGACCGCGAATAAAAAATGACGCAAACTATGAACTATGTAAGGGAATGTTATTGTAAATACATCGTGTACAAACTTACATAATAACTGTATATATTGTGGCATAAAGTTATAAAAATATTTTAGTACGTGTTTTAAAAATTGAGAAACGGCTTCACACAACATATCAAATAATTTCAGTTTCCTTAGAATAATTGAGTAAAATTCGAAACGCACAATATTAGCCCCTTATCAGCGATCAGTCTTATTCTCTTTCGTCTCTTTCTGTCAAATTGTGTTTACGCTGTCATGAAAAGAGACAGTTGACTTTAAAACGGTGCAATTGATTATTAATAAGAGTTTTTGAATTACTTCGCTTTAGAGTTGATTTTTATCCTAGAGATAGGTTATATATCTTTAACTGCATGTTAGAGAGTTTCGCATAACTGCCTAATAAATTACGCATTTTTATATATAAAACTAAATCAGTTGTAAGTGTGGTTTAAGTAAAGAAGTGATTTCACGTATGAAAAGATAAGTGTTTTACAGTGTAAAAACTGATTTAGTTTTTATATATGTTTTATCTAATTTCATCGGATTTATTTTATTATATTCGGTAGTCTTAGTACAAACACAATGCGCTGAAAAATTCGCAAACTTGTTACATATATTCCATACATTTGGTATGGTTTAATAACAAATACTATACGAGCGTATGTTTAGTGTATACTTCTATAACGGTCTACAAGCCCAGGATTCCATTAAAAAAATATATTTTACGTATTTTCGTGTCAAGAGTACTGTAGGTCTTTTTTGATATGAAAAGAGCGTCGATTTGATTAGTTATTTCACCTATTATTTTAATAAAAACTTTACGGTTGAAGCAGCAAATAGCGTGAATACTGTCGAATTTAGTTTTATAGACACAACAAAATTGTATAATCAATAATTTCTCGACATTCAAAGGCAACGAATTCAATTTAAGCCGTGGTAACGTTTAACGTTTAAGAATTGTAGTAAAAGTCTTATTGATCCTAACAATAAACATTTTTAACTGTCGGTAAATAATTCAGAAATACGAGATTTTAGTTGTAGACCTACTTTAAGTTTGTAAAATTAACTGTCAGCTAATTTTATACCAGGTTGGAAGATTTTATTGTCGCGGGTAGTTCAAAAATTACCAATATCGGCTTTGTATATAAGTTAAAAACGCTTGCATATTGTCTAACACTGAATTTCACAATTCTCATGCATTTCAAAGCATTGCTTTGTTATATTTTGTATATAAATTGTACATACTATGTGTGTAGAATCGTAGATTACATAAGTCAATACAAAATACAGATGTTAATAGTTTGTATAATATTTTTAATTAAATATAATTTGTTTTAGTGCAATTTCATATTTATCTATTTCGCTTTATTTAAATTCGCTTGAATTGGTTTATATAAGTTATTCTACATTTGTCTATGGATAGAGGATTAGGTTCTTATCCCTAAAAATGGTTTACGCATGAAAGCCTAAAACTCAGTTTTATGTATTTGTAATGTTAAGTTAGTTTTATGTTGCAAAAAAAAAAATATAAAAATGCCTTAAGGCCTATTGGAGTGCAAATGTTAATTTAAGTGATACTTTGGAGTATGCAAAAAAAATGGTTGGTTAACGTAAGTTAATTGTCACTTAATAAAAATATGTAAATAGTTGCAATTGCAATTTGGATAATTTGAATATCATGCTGCAAGTACAGTTGTCGTTAGTTTCTTTTGAAAACAAATAATTAGCAGAGCTGAATCGTTCAGATATATAATTTTATATATAGTTTTGCGCATTTTTATGAGTAAAATATTAAAGTAGATTTTAAAATTTGGAGACGAAACAAAGCCAATTTATTTTTATATTGCTGACCAATGTTTGCTTTCAAAGGGAACTAACTAATCTTAGCCAATTTTTTGCTGTACATATAGATAAGTAGTGTTTTATTTTCATAATCAGAGTCTGTGGATTACGAGCTGCTTTCCAAATATTTTCATTTTAATTGACACCCAACCAACCCTAAAGGTAGAATATTAATATCGTGCCTAAATTAGTACTTAACAGCACATTGAAATATTTGTCTTCTGAAACGCTTAAAATTTCAATAGTGCAATAAATTATCCATCGAATGGTTAAATTTGCGTTTAATGGTTATAGTGTTGAACATTGTGCGGGAACATTACAATACGTTGTGCTCGGGACGTGTACAACTGTAAGACTGTCAATTGGTGTAGATATTATATATTATATAGTATTTTTATTAGACAAAATACAATAAATGTGTGAAGTCAATTGTTTTATTTGATTTATTGGTAGAACCTTAATAGCCTAATTAACAGAACCTAAAGAGTAACTCCTTCTAAAGCACTCTTTCTGTCTAGACACAGAGTACTTTACTTGAAACTGTACAATTACTCTTTATTTTTATGATTGAAGGGTATAGTATAAAAAGCTAAAAAAATATATAAGTTCAGAGCAGTGTTGGACTATTGGTCTAGTGGCTTAAGCGTGCGCCTCAACATGTGCGTTCGAATCATGGCTGTACAAAAATGGATTATCCTTTCTGTGTGTAATTAACACTCGTGAAGGAAAAGTCGTGAGGAAACCGGTTTTAGACCTAAAAATCCTCGAGTAATGACAGTACACTAGGCTAATCACCTACTTGTTCATGTAGAATAAATATATATATAATTATATACATATAATTTTAAGACGTAATTATAGTAATACTCGATACAGAGTAAGCTAATTTTTAAATCGTAAATTCCTACCTCAGTTTAAATGACGTCAATGCACTCTCACACATTGATCTGCGAAGCTGAATCATTCAATGTTGAATAGACAAGAGACTTCCCTTTAAAAATGTCTAGGCTGTAAGGTAGCCCAATCTAACGCGAGACCCCCACAGATTTTGAATAAGGATGAAAGGGTCATCAAGCCAACGAAAATTAGCGTAACCGTGCTATTTATCAATCGTATTAGGTGTTTGAAGACAATTTTTTATTGAGCCCTATTTTTTAAGATGTCTTCTCATATCATATTAACTGGAAATATGTAAGTCCAATGAACACTAGAATAAAATTGATATTGCGTATAACGACCCTCAGATGACTGCATACGGTTATTCTTTACAGTATATAGATGAGTTTAACAATGATGATGAAGGTAATAAACATGTAAAAGGCAAATCCTCATTCAATTAGTTCAAACGGAAGGTAAGTTAATTACCACTAGAT